CGCTGAACTCGTGTGCGTGTGTGCCCAAGATCCCGAGAGGAGAATGGAGGAGAAGGGATTGCAGCGTGGCCATCCCCCCTGGGGGGTGATTTCTCACTTTCTGTCTCTCTGTCTCTCTCTGTCTGTCTGACGAGCACACGTGCCCTGTAGCAAAAACCTCTCCAAAAAAAAAAAAAGAAGAGGACCTGGCTTTAGTGGTTTTAGTTTTTAAGGTTTTTTTTTTTTTTTTTTTTTTTTTTTTTTTAATAGGGCATGTGTGGTCACCAGAAAGAGATAGAGGGAGACAGAGAGAGAGAAGGTGAGGAATCACCCTTGGAGGGATGGCCACACTGCAATGTCTTCTATGTCTTCTCCTCCACCCTCCTCTTGGGATTTGGGGCATACACACATGCATCCCGTGTGAGTTCTGAGGCACCAGATCTGGGACCTAACCTGCAGTCAGCCAGGTGGGAGTCCAGGGCCTTAACCTGCATGCTACCTGCTGGCCACATGTGTTGTAGCTTTGAGTGAAGAGTGTGGTCCTTGTGTCAGAGAATGTGGGCTGGGCTGGCCGTTCACATGCGCCGAGCCCTTGCTGTGTCCAGACCCAGGCAGGGCTCCTTCACTGTGCCGAGGTCCGTCCCGCTACACCCTGCGTAAATGTGAAGAACTGTCAGCTGCAGAGGCGTTCGATCCACAGCCTACGTCAGAGCGTGGCCTCGCCTGCCTTCACTCAGAGCACCCGCACCGGCCCGCGGCTGGGCAGAAGCATCTAACGTAAAGCCTGTTTTGTCATGAAGTGTGATGGACTGACTACGCGTTGAGTGGAAACCGGAATGGCCTGCTGCCCTGCCCGGTGCCACGGGACAGTATCCCACCATATATCCCGAGCCCAGGAAAAAATCCAAATCCAAATCCAAGCTGGAAGCGCAGTTTCTTTGGGAGGAGTGTCCCTTGCACATCATGGCAAAATCTAGAAATTGTACCTCGACCCATCATCAGCCAGGGACAGTCTGTCTGTCACCCAGCCCCCCACTGGCTTCGGGAGGCAGATACTCTTCTCCTTCTCCGTTGTTCAGCTGACAAAGCTGAGGCCTGGGGAGGCTAAGTGACTTCCCGAGGCTGTACAGGGTGACGCTGGGATCTGAGCCGTGGTGGCGTGGCCTCAGAGGTCATGTGTGACCCTCTGCCTGCTAATACCTCGGTGGCTGGGAGGGTCGTGAACACAGTATGTTGCACGGTTCCTGACACCAGCACATGCTCCGTAAATTGCACGAGCGAGGGCCAGCTCCGTGGCACAGCAGTAACACACTGCTCTAGAGAAGCTGATCTCGTGGTGACCAAGGTTCGAATCTCTGACCTGGTCAGCCTGGCCAAGCACGTGAGTGACGGGCTGGAGGACTGGAGGAAGGGGACTGTGGCCTAACCAGACCCCATGAAGGGTGCTTCTCTCGCATGCTCACTCTCCTGTGTACATGCATGAGCTCTACTGTGCATGAAAGAAGAAAAATTAATTTTAAACACTTAAAATAAGAAAAATAATTGTCTTCAGGAACATGACGCTTTGGACCAATGACCGGTCCCTTTGCCATCAGCCACTCACTCTCCGTCAGTGCCGATGGGAAGGTCACTGTGTGGTGGTGTCTGCAGGGGCTGGCCCAGGGCTCAGGCCACCCCAGCTGCTGCCACTCTGGGGAGAGGGAGCCTCCCAGCTGCTCTGAGCGGCGTTCTGGGAGTGGGCGGGGCTGCTTCTAGCCACCTGCCCCTGGGACAGAGCCCCATTCTTCCTGCTTGGGTGCCTGTGGCATGTCAGCTGTGGCTTGTCAGCTGTGGCTGGACTCAGGCCTCCTCTGGCATGTTCCTGGGCTCCCACGGCTGGGATTTGAACCGTGTGGGCTGCCATGATGAATCTGACTCCATTAACCACTAGGCCATGCCCCAACTTTTAAAAAGTCTATTTATTTCTTCCATGAGTGAGAGAGATAGAGAGAAAGAGAGAGACAGAGAACACACCCAGGAAGTCTCTGCTGCGAACCCAGAGCCTCCCCTGCAGGTCTGCCTTGTAGACGCTGTGTTTTACCTCCTGGACCATCCGGACCTCTTTTAGTTTCTTTTAGTTTAGTTTTTTTTTTTTTCTTTTTTTCTTTTTTTCCTTTTTCCTAGATTTTTGCAATAGAGCGTGTGTGCTCACCAGAAAGAGACAGAGAAGGTGATAAATTACTCTCCACAGGGATGGCCACCCTACAATCCCTTCTCGTCCATTCTCTTTTTGGGATTTTGGTCATAATTTCTGGCACACACGCACATGTGCCCAGAATGATGCTCAAGCCTCTGGGTCTAGGGCTCGAAGCGCAGTTGGCCATGTGGGAGTCCAGTCCCCTAACCACCACGCCGTCTGCTGGACCTCATGTTCTTTTTAAGAACCAAGGTATTGGGGATCCTCACCTGGCACTGGGACCTCTGGGCTTGGAGCTGAGGTCAGGTGGTGCCGACCAGGCCTGAGCTGGGAGGAGCACGTGACCAGGTACGGCAGGGCTTGCTAGGGTCCACTTTCCATGCCCCACCCACAAGCTGGCGATGTGGTAGGTGGTAACTCGCTTGGTGGAGAAGAACAGCTTTTGGAGTTTATGGGCTCCGGGTTTGAATTCTGACTCGTCACATGCCTTGGGCTCCCGGCTTGACCTCTCTGAGCCTCAGTTTCCTCTGCTGTCAGATAGGGAAGACGGGGATGAAGTGGACTGACACCCTAGCAACCCGCCGACACAGAGCTAGTCCCCAGGGATGACCCAGTGCCCTTTAGGTCTGTAGGGCAGGTCTGGGAGGGGTCACGGAAAGCTCCAGAAGCCTTGCCAAAAGCCCTGTCAGCCGAGTCCAGAAATAGAAGACCCCGGAGACAGAGGAGGCTCCAGATGGCCAGGCTGCCCTCTGCCAGCCTGGGAGGCCACCCCGAGCTGGCAGTGTGGCCTCCCCCCTCCCGGGCTGTGGGCTGCATAAATTAGTTGGCAGCCTTTGGGCTAATTTTACCTTCTTGGTTTTCATGAATCATTTCCCATCTGGGGGTGTGTGAGAGCAGTGGGAACAGCCCTGCCAGCTGGATGCCCGGGCGTCCGCTGCAGAGACCCCATGGCCAGCCCTGCTGTGCTCTCAGAAGGGCCTCTCCCAGGCCAGGCGCCGTGGACCACAGGAAGGGTCCCCGAGGATGGCTCCTGCCAGCCCGGGCCTGGACCTGGGGTCAGTGAGTGACAGTGGGTCACAGGGCTGGAACTTAGGCTGTCTCTCAAGGGATTTGGCATCAGCTGGTTTCACCAGGATGGTCACTAGGAGCTGTTCGACCTTGGTGGTGGGATGGCTTGGCAGACACCCCTGTGACCTGCCGGACTCCTGGCTCACCTCCCATTGCCGGTGTGAAGACCGGCTTGTCATAGCCACAGCCTATCAGGGCTAGCAGGTTCTAGTGGAAAATCAGGCCAAAGGATGCACTGCACAGATGGGTAAACTGAGGCTCAGTGACCAGAGGGGCTTACCCCAGTCAGTGCTCCATGGAAGAAGGCAGACTAAGAGTTACTGACTGACTGCCACCCGGATGGTGGCACACGGTGAAATCCAGTGAAATGAGACAGCTGTGAGGCTGACCGGTGTGGGAAGGTTCTGGGTTCATGTCCAGAGACCTCCCTAAGTATACGGGCACATGTGTGCCATGATCTGGGCAGGCTGATGGCATCAGGACCTCCTGGGGTGCCCTGTCTCTCCCCCTCACTCATGGACGCCATAAACAGAACTTAAGAAATGCGTCACTTGCTAATGGGTTACACATTTACGCACAGCAACCTTATCTGATGCGAATGAGCTCTTTGAAAACTTATTTTATTTTTATTTAGTCTATTTATTTATTTTGCATTCGATCCCTGTACACCATTTCAGCATATCAAATGCGTCTTCCCATCCCGGATCCACTGTATATTGGCTCAGTCAGCGATATGGCCATACCCAGATCGTCACGGGTCGTTTTCCATTTTGTGTCCCTTTGTTTTGCTTCTTTGCCCCCTCAATCTCCTCCCTGTCATCCTCCCCCATTTCTCATTGCTCAGCCATGGAACCAGCCCACATGTCCACAAACAGATGAGTGGATTGAAAAGGTGTGGCACATGGACTCTGGAATATTACTCAGCCATGAAAAACATGACCCTGGCGTTTGATAGGAAGTGGCCGGACGTGGACGATTTCCTGCTGTTACTGTTTTGTAGAAGTGTAACTAGGCACTGAGTGAGATGGCGCCCGCAATCACAGCTGTGAGTGGCAGGGCCGGGATTTGACCCGGCACCCCACTCCAGGGGCCACGTTCCCACTGTCTCTGTCCAGCTGCCTCCTGCCATGGGCCCCAGCCTGCCTTTGCTCCCGCCCTCTCCCCTCCCGGGGCCCTGGGAGTGGTTTCCGGAAGCGTCCATCACGCCCCCTCGTCTTCTTCCACTCACCAGGTGTGCGCTGGGCTCCGGGAGCCATTCTGGGTGCAGGGGCTTATTTGGGAGCAGCCAGAGTAGAGAGGTGGGGAGGCCGGAGGGTTGCCAGCACTGCACCCCCTGTCATCTGAGGCGGAGTGCTTCGAGGACTGCGTCTACACAGCACTTTGGCCTGTTTCCTGCAGGGCGCTGATTCAGATGCTCAGGCAGGCCATGCACGTCTGTGACACAGGCGGCCTGGGCACCGGAGAGGCGGTGCCTTGTCTGTCCTAGCAGGGTCTCCAGCTCCTGCCATTCGTTACCTCATGGGATGACCGGCGTGGCATTGCCAACCCTCTGATTTCCTGAAAAGTTGAACTTCCATTTTTTTAAAAAATATTTATTTTATTTAACTGAATTTATTATTGTTATTACTGTTTTTTTGTTTGCTATAGGGCACGTGCACTCACTAGAGAGAGCGTGAGAGGGAAAGTGAGAAAGCAAGCCGCCGGGTCCAAGACTCAGACCTTTGTGAGCCATGTGGGAGTCCAGCCCCTTCACCACCACGCCACCTGCTGACCCACGTATTACACAAAATCTTTTATTCTATGCGGAGTCGGTAAAAATGAAAACTGAAAAAGACAGGATGGCCTCCAGTTTGCGAGCTGTGCGTCCTGCTCGCACTGCCTCCCTGCGGGCCTTCCTGGCACCAAACACATTCTCCTTCCAGTGGCTTCTCGGGCTCTCCTGTCAGGAAGCCCCTTCACTCCCTGCCTCCTCCCGTTGCCGTTTGTTGCCTACCATGCAGACTGCCACCTGGGAGCAGTGGAAGGGGCTTGATCTTCAAGTTGGGCAGACTCCAGACAGCTGGTGTGCAGCCTTGTTCAAGCCACTTAACCCCTCTGAGCCTCCATTTCCTATCCGAAAAACAAGTAAAGTAAGACCACACTTACGAGGTTGTCGACATGACTAAATACAGTCTGCCAGAAATGCAAGTCGGGCGGGAGTTGGCAAACCTGGTATTTGGCAACTCAGCGAGAGGTCTCAGGGTTCTTGTGAGCTTCAGGCACGGTCGGATCCAGGGGCTCACACCCTGTCACCAGGAGCGAGTTTCTCGCTCCTACTCTGCTCCATTCGCAGCCAGGCTGTGGTGTCACGGTGGCTGGCGGCCATCTCCCCATACCTATAGCCTACCCTTTCAGCAGTCCCTGCAGTGAGAGGGGATCCCCGAGATCAGCTCTGCACCTGCAGGGACAGGACCAGCAGATTAGTTGGCCCTTAGTCCCCCTCTCACCCCTGGGGTGAGCACTTGGAGATGGGGGCTCCCCAAGTTCTCTGTGGGCTTGGTGCTTGACTCCCAGCCCCTAGGGCCATACCTGGCTCTCTGTGGCCTGTGGGCACATACAGGAAGGGACGCCTCCCATGGTGCACGTGGAACAGCTGGCACGGAGCTGGCCTCAGCCACGTCCACACCCCGCCCGTCCTTCCTACGAGACGAGGTTCCCCTTCTGGGAACGCGTCACGGCTCCACAGCTCCCCCTCCATCTCGAGCTCGTCACCCAGCAGAGGAGCCCCACACTCCCGTTTGTCGTGGCCAGCTGGACCTGTAGCCCCGTCACTCCTGACCTGTCCCCTTGCCCCTGCAGACGTGTTCCCGGAATCAGTGCTGTCTGGTGCCATCATTGTTCCGGTCCACTCGTTCACATGCTTGCCACTCTGTCGAGACCGGCCTGCAGGCCAGCTTCGATCTCATCAGGTGTGCAGAAGGGGTAGTCCACCCTGCAGGGTCACGGAGCCAGTGAGCTGACGCGAGAGGAACTCGCCCGGCACCCGTAGGTGCTCAGGGAAGGTCCACTTTCCTTTGAGTCACTTCCAACTGCCTTAGTTGGAGCCCACATGCGTGAGCCTTTGCATGACTGTGTGGGAAGGTGCCTAATTCCCTCCTAGTCATTCATGCTGATTGTGCATGCGTGCATGCATGGAAGTCTTGGGGACCCTGGGCTCCTGTGTTGGTGCTAAGGATGGCCGAGGCTCGCTGGATGAGCAGGATGGCTCACTGCTCCCCGCCCGGCCCACAGCCCGGCCCACAGCAGGCCATCAGCATGGAGCACTGCTTCCCCACCCATGTCCCATGGAGCCACATCAGTGGCCGGATGGGGACTGCAGAGTGGGCCGCCCTGCACTGCGACAGCTCAGAGCTGACAGGCCAGCTCCCTTCTCCAGGGAGTGCACAGCTGCGGTGCCCGCCTTGACCCACTTAACTACCTGTGTGACTAGCAGTGAAATGGCTCAGGGTCAGAGGGCAGCAAGGCCTTGGTTTGAGACTCTCAGCCAGGACGCCCAGGATGCACCAGACCCTGGTGAGCTGCTGCTGCTGTGTCCACCCCGCCTCCCCACAGCCCTCTGTACTTGCCCAAAGACAGAGTGGCGTGGTGACGAGTCCCCGTGGTTAGAGGTACCCACACATGCCTGGGAATGATGGAAAGACTGGGTCTGAGCAGCTCGTGGTCAGACGGTGCTTTTCCGACCTCCAGGTGCGTCCACAGTGCCTGGTCAAGTCTCCGTGGGCAGGCTCTGGTTCGGGAGGCCTGGGCTGAGCAGGAGAGTGCCTTTGGAGCTCCATGGGGTGCCCGTGCTGCTGGTCCATGGCCCGCACTTTAAGAAGCAAGCAAGGATTTAGATGACATTTGAGTTTTCTTGTAATTCTGAGATTTTTGGTAAGGTTGGGCGAATAAATAGCCAGTGAAAATGGCAGGGGTGAGAGCAGGAGATAGCCAAGAGAGCCGGAGGAGTGTAGACCCCGTGGGCGGGGGATGCTGCAAGCCTTCCGCTGGTCACAGGCAGTGGGGCTGTTTCCCTCGGGCCAAACACCTGAAGAAGAAACGCATGCACGCGCTGCTTCCTCAGGTCCCAGCCCTCAGTAAGAGTGGCAGGTGTCATTAGCATGGGGGGAGGGCCCTAGCTAAACCAGGGGAGCGCTAGGGCTCACAGCTGTGAGCTCCCGGCCAGCAGTCGAGGCAGGAACCCTCTGACTGTCCTTAGGAGAGTCGATATTCCAAGCCTCTTCCCCTCGTGGCCTTCATGTTCTCCTGCTTTGTCATCCGAGAGTGTGGCCTCCCTGAGCCCCAGAGAGCTGCCCCGGCCCTACACAGGCACACCCGCTTCTCCCAGGCCTTACCTGGCCATGGCCGACCTACACAGGCACACCCCTTCTCCCCAGGCCCTACCTGGCCTGCCGACCTGGTGCCTGGAGTTCTGCAGTCAGATTTGCCGCAGGGAGTTTTCTTGGACATCAGTGTCCTCTTCCCAGGAGCAGCAGGCGGCGGGGAGGACCCCTCTGCATGCTCCCTCACCCCTATTTGCTGGCTTCTTTCTTGTGGGGAGGGCGAAGGGAAGCACCACCTAGGACTTGTCTTATAAACTACAGTACTAGTTCCTATTTTCCTTTGTTAAAGTTTATGATTTTATTTATGATAGTGAATATGAGAGAAAGAGAGAGAGGAAGAGAAAGACTCTCGACAGGACCTGGTCCCTTCCCCAGCCCTCCAGCTTTCAGGATCTTGGGCACACACGTGTTTTCAGGTCATTCAGGCCAAGGATCCAAACCCGTGTCAGCCATGTGGCTTCCAGCCCTGCTGTCCCAGGTGCTCCCAACTGTGTTACAGAAGCTTTGCCTTATTATTATTATTATTATTATTTACTTTTTATTCTGCAGGAAAGGTAGAGAGACGAGTATAGTAAACTCCCATGCCCCACCAACGAACGACTGGGCGTTACTAGGCTATTTTTCAACTCAGGAAAGCTTGCGCCTGGTGTAAAATGTAGTGAGAAGTAACCCCCTCCTTCCCCAGCCCTCCGACGAGGAGCCAGTGCCAAGAGCTATTCTGAGCAGAGGCACGCACACGAGTGTGTGTCCTTTAAACCGTGTGCAGCTGGGGCCCGTTCATGTTCTGTCACGCACGTATGACTCGGGCACGTCGTGTCAGACACTGCTCTCAGTGTTATGCGCGATGTGTTATTGCTTACCTACTTCTCATGACACCCTGACCAGGTAGGTGCCATCATTAGTCCCAGGCACAGGAAGTAGGGACATCTCCGGTGTCACCCAGTCGTGGTCAGCTGGAAAGTGGGCCCAGGCAGCTCAGAGGCAGCACCCACGCTGTCACCGTCTCGTGCTGGCTCTGCAGTGACACCTTCTGTCCCTGACTGTTCTCCCCACCCGTCATGGAGTCCACTTCACCAGCGTTTCTTCTTCTTCTTTTTTTTTTTTTTTTGAGTGGTTTTTGCTATAGGGCACATGCACTCGCCAGACAGACAGAGAGGGATAGAGAGACAGAAAGCGAGAAATCACCCCCCGGGGGATGGCCACACCGCAATCCCTTCTCCTCCATTCTCCTCTCAGGATCTTGGGCATGCATGCACATGTGCCTGGCGTTGAGTTTAAGCCACCGGATCTGGGACTTGAACCGCGGTTGACTACTTGGGAGTCTAGCAACATAGCTATTACACTAACTGCTGGCCCCTTACCAGCGTTTCTTGTGCTGACTTGGCACTGGGCCCTGTGCTCATTGCTGGAGAGATAGCAGCAAACAAAACCGATGACATCTCTGCCTTCCCGGAGTTTTCATTCTAGTGGGGAGACAAACGATGAATAATATAAACAAGTTTGATAGCGATACGTGTTCTGGAGAAAAATACAGCAGGGCAGGAAGGGTGGGAAGTGTAAGGGGGGGTGCAGCCAGTGGCGAGCTGGTTACAACGGCCCGATCCCACATGGCTGAGTGCATGGTTCGAGGCCCGGACAGGACAGCTTGAGAAATGTGCCCAGTGCTTGTGTGCGTGTGTGTGTGTATGTATGTGTGTGTCCAAAATCCCAGCAAAAGGGAGCAGGAGAGGAAAAGGGATTGTGGCATGACCATCTGGCATGGGGGGGGTTGCTTTCTCTCCTTCTCTCTTTCTCTGGGAAGTGCACATGCCCTTTAGTGAACTAAAGGAAAAGAAAGCGTAAGGGGGTTGCAGCTTTATATGGGTGACCAGAGGAGGTGGCACTCCACAAAGGCTCTGGAGGGGCGAGGGAGCAAGCCCCGTGGGTATGTGGAGAAAAGCATGAAGGGCAGAGAACAGGCAGTGCAGACTCAAGACAGGAATGTGCAGGGAACCAGCAGTTAGCGTAATGGCTATGTCGCTGGACTCCCACGTAGTTGACCGCGGTTTGTGTCCTGGACCCGGTGGCTTAAACTCACGCCGGGCGCGTGTGCGTGCGTGCCCAAGATCCCGAGAGGAGAATGGAGGAGAAGGGATTGCGGCGTGACCATCCCCCCTGGGGGGTGATTTCTCGCTTTCTGTCTCTATGTCTCTGTCTGTCTGTCTGGCGAGCGCACGCGCCCTGTAGCAAAAAACCTCTCCAAGAGGGGAGGTTCTGGAGGGAATGGGGCAGTCCGTGTCGGCCCGACGAAGCCCTAAGAACAAGGTGTTGGTCGTGCACCCTGGGGCATGGTGGAGGGCTCTGAGCGGGAACTGCTTGGTCTGCTTTGGTTTGTAACAGGTCCTCCCTGACTGCAGGGTGGGAGCGGACTGGAGGGCCCGGATAACCAGTCAGGCTGCCTCTGCAGCCATTCCAGGGAGAGGGAGTGGTGACCGTGGAGGAGGGGCTGAGCTAGTTCCGTGGAGTCCCCGGAAACAGCGGGCCGGCTGTGTAGATACGCTGTCAGTAATTTAAGTGAGGCCGGTGGGGGGGGGGGGCTTGTCAGTCTCCAGCCTTTGACTACCCTGGGCAGTCGTGCAGGGTATATTCATGCACGTATGTCTGAGAACCCCCTAGACATGAAGTCGCAGGACTCAGGGTGCATGCCGTGTTTAAAGGTCCCTTGCCACCTTGCTCTCCCGAGAGGTACTGGTTTACATTTCTGGCAGGAGGCATGAGACCATGCCCGGGGCTGTAGTGTCAGGGAGAGGAGTGACCAGTCGAGAAATGCCATTTCCCCACGCCTCGCTGTTCTGTAGGCCTGGGCACCCTCCAGGTGGGGCTCTCCACGGGTTCATGCAGAGTGCTGGACCACTAGACCCAGCTCGGGTGGGCTGGGGTCAGATGGGACTGCATCCTTGGTAGGCAGAGTCCTGTGAGGATGGCTTGTGGCTGCACGTAATAGCAGTGCTGTCCTGGACAGGCTAGGGACGTCGAGGAGTGCAGCAGGCGTGGGTAGGTGTCCACACTGCCGACTCCACGCCTCGGCCTGGCAGGTGATGTCCTGGTCTCTGAGAGCGTGTCCAACACCTGCCAACATGCCGATCCTCCAGCTCCACCGGGTCCAACAGTCCAGTCCAATTCCACCCTGAAACTAACGACCCAGAGTTAGCACCGGCCCTGCAGTATCAGGGCCCGGTCCCACGGGGCCGTCTTCACTTCAGACATCAGTCTTAAGTCCCAGTCACCCACAGTTTTGACCGACGTAAATTAGGGGTTCCCGGGACCCTTCTCAGGTTGGATGACCCCCTGGAAGGACTCACAGCACTCAGAAAGCTGCTTCACGTACTATCCGCCATGTATTTACGGGAGGCAACTTAGGAATGGCCAAAGGAACGAGCTGCACATGGCGGGGCTGGGGCGGGGGCGCAGAGCTTCCATGCCCGACACCACCCTCCCAGCACCTCCTCTGTGCCTGGAACCCGGAAGCTTTCTGCATCTTGTTGCACAAGAGTTTTCCTAGAGCTTAATCCCCAGCCCCTCCTGTCCTCCGCTGTGGTCAGTGGGTGGGGCTGAAAGTTCCCACTCCCTGAGAGTGGGACCAGTTGGTCTTTCTGGTGACCAGGTTCATCTTGAAGCAGTCTGGGCCCCACCCTAAATCATGTCACTTCCATAACTCACGGGTGACTCAGGGGGACTCTGTAGGAAGCATAGTCCTGTCACTCTTGAAATCCCAGGAGTGGGGACCAGCAGTTAGCATAATTGGCTATGTTGCTGAACTCCCATGTGGTTGACGGTGGTTCAAGTCCCAGACCCGGTGGCTTAAACTCATGCTGGGCACGTATGCGTGCGTGCCCAAGATCCTGAGAGGAGAATGGAGGAGAAGGGATTGCGGCGTGGCCATCCTCCCAGGGGCTGCTTTCTCCCTTTCTATCTTTCTATCTCTCTCTGTCTTTCTGGCGAGCGTAAGCGCCCTATAGAAAAACCTCTATTAAAAAAAAAGGAAAGAAAGAAAGAAAGAAAGAAAGAAAGAAAGAAAGAAAGAAAGAAAGAAAGAAAGAAAGAAAAAGAAATCCCAGGAGTTAGGAGATTGGTGCCGGGAATCATGGACAAAGACCAAACGTATTTCTTTCCTTTTTCAAGATGGTGCCTCCCCACGGCAAGGTCCTCCTGCCTCAGCTTCCTGCACAGCTGGGACTGCAGGCACGTGCTGCCAGGTCAACTTCCAACTTCCGGGCTGGGCGGGGATCAAACCAGGTCAACCCCCTCGCCTCAGCCTGCTGATAGTGGCATCTACAGCTGCACTCACAGCCGAGCCCCAAACATATTTCTTACCTGCCCCTCTACCCAGGCGCACCAGCTCTATGTGGGGAGTGCTCCCTGCGAAGCTCAGGCTCAAAGACATGGCTGCCATTTGCAACCGTGACTATATGCCTGCTTGGTCAAGTCATGAAATAAAAACCCTTCCCTTCCCTCTGAGTGGGCCAAAGCAGGTCAGGAATCCAACCTTCCAGGCGAAGGCCATGAGCTGAGTAGTTAGAGGCCAGGTCCTGATCCAAGCATGGGGAGGGAGATGGTATGGCCCTAACTAACCTGATTTAGTCTAAGCCCGCGCCAGAGCTCAGCCCCTCCTGGCTCTCGGCAGTCCTGTAAGGGTGTGTGGCACCTGGGCAGATCCAGCTTCGTCAGCGGACGGGAGGGAGGCCATCAGCAGTGTGTGCTGTGAGAAGCAGACATGACTCATGATCTTACACTGCTTCTCTTAGCTCTTCTCACCCAAGTCTTAGCAGCCATGGGGTCAGCGGATTATCTGTGAGCTCTGCAGGAGGGCCACCTCTGGAGAACGTGTCCCCCTGGCCCTAAGCAGCGTCTGCTCTGCGATGGCGACCTGAAGCCTTGACCTGGGCTCGACCGACTGGACCCTCCTTTCCTCAGCTGCAAAATCAGGGCAGAGTGGGTGGGCGAAGATATCCACAGGGGAGTTCCTTGCCTTTGTAGATATTTTTTCCTTTGTGTTTATGAACATGCAAATTTATATAGAAAAATGCACATATTATGGAAGCACGGTTCGATATATTTTCACCAACTTAACACACCAAGGGACTAGCAGCTAGATGAAGAAGTAGGGCATGAGCAGTATTCTAGAACCTTCTTTCCTTCCCCTTTCCAGTTATTCCCAAGGATAACCGTGAGCTCAACTGCTGACATTATAATTTTGCTTGTGAGGTTTTGGTTTTAACTTAAAATTTTTTTTTGCTAGATGGTCCATGCACTCACCCCAGAGAGAAGGAAATAGAGACAGCAACCCCATGGGGGATAGTCACGCCACAATCCCTTCTCTGTTTTTCCTTTTGGGATTTCAAGCATGTTTTTCAAGCCTCCAGGTCTGGGATTTGAACCATGCAGTTGGTTATGTGGGATCCAGCAGCCCCAACCACTAAGCCACTGGCTGGCCCTCTGTTAACCTTACATAAATTAATTGTACAGTGCATTCTTCCGGCTCTCGTTCTTTTCTCCACATTATGGCTTGCCCATGTTATAGTACATATTTGTAATTTTAGTCTCATTTCTGTGTGGCATTCTAGCCATCACGCTGACTTTTAAACCTAATGAGGCTTCAGTGACTGTCGTCCAGTTCCCTGTGATCAGTCAGCACAAGAAAATGAATGCGCCAAATTTCTTAGTTTTTGCTTAGAATGAGTGTGATAACCAGTGTGATAGCCCTGAGTATCACATAACCTGTGTGGAGGAAAAACAAGAAACTTGAATGCATTACCTAACACATGCAGTCTTTTTAATAGCAAAAATCTTTCAGAATGGGAATCATAAAAAATAAATAAAACCAGGGATACTTCATGATAGAAATACTAGGGCCTGGGGCCAGCAGAAGGCATTATGGTTACACATATGCCCGAACGCGGTTCGAGTCCTGGACCTGGTGGCTTGGAACTCACACCAGACACATGTGCGTGTGTGTCTAAGATCCCAGGAGGAGAATGGAGAAGGGATTGCGGCTGGCCACCTCCCCCGGCCCCCGGGCTGTGATTTCTCACTTTCCCTCTCACTGTCTCTGTCTCTCTCTTCACTGAGTGCTTTCGCTCTAAGGCAAAAACCTCTTTAATAAAGAAAGCCGGGGATGCTTCATGGTAGAAATCCTGGGTCCTTATTTCCTTCATTCGTGAAATGCACCCGGTTCACTTAGTGCCTGGCACTCGGTCTGCCATCTCCATCCGTCCTCCTTCCCGGCCTACTGTCTGGATCTCAGATTTCTCAGCGCAAGTGCGAAAGGTGGAAGGGAGTTTGAATTGCTCTTCTCTTGCGATTCCTAAACGCAACGAGAATGAAGAATTTCTTCAGAGATTTTTCAGGTGACATTTTTTTCTCACAAGCAGAAAAAGAAACAGAAACACTTGACCTTTCCTGACCACTGTCAATACCCTCACATAGATCTTCGCAGGCCTGTGTGTGCAACCCACATCACTAGATAGGGATTTCCTGAAATGATTTTGTCTCCATGTTTCCATAACTTTCATTTTTAAAAACTAGATTTCTTTTAGATGTTTTTTTTCGGGGGTTTGTCTATTTTTATTAATTTTTTAAAAATTATTATTTATACATCAAATCGCTATCCATCATTTAGATTGTGAAGAGCATGATACCCAGCATGGTACACACCTGAGTCCAGCCCAGCTGAGACTATTATACACACCCTCGTCTTCAAATAACAAACCTTATCTGTGTCCGCAAGTGTCTCACCTCTCCGTTTCCCCCCGATTTTCATTTCCTATGCTCTTCCCCTCCCACACTCTCTTCCCACTTTGTCTCTAGTGTCCATTACAATTTTTAATGCTTTTATGTTCTCCAATCTTTCAGTCTCTACCATAGAGTGCAGATAGTTGGTATATGTTAAGTGGAGACATATATTGTCTCTTTCTTTCTTTCTTTCTTTCTTTCTTTCTTTCTTTCTTTCTTTCTTTCTTTCTTTCTTTCTTTTTTGAGAGGTTTTTGCTATAGGGCACATGGTCTCAACAGAAAGACACAGACAGAACAGAGAAAAAGCGAAAAATCACCCCCCAGGGAGGATGGCCATGCCACAATCCCTTCTCCTCCATTCTTCTCTTGCGATCTTGGGCATGCAAACACACACGCCTGGTGTGAGTTTAAGTCACCGGGTCCAGGAATTGAACCATGGTCGACTACATGGGAGTCCAGCAACATAGCCATCACTCCAACTGCTGGTCACATCTGCCTTTCATAGCCTGACTGGTTTCACTCAGCAACAAATCTTCCATATTTACCCACTTTCTATCAAACTCCAGGGCTTTTTTTTTTATGCCTGAATGGTATTCCATCATGGAATATATGTGCTGTAATTTTTCAATTCACTTATCTGTGGACATTTGGGTTGGTTCCATGTCTTAGCAATAGTGAATAACGCTGTAATGAAGAGTTGAGCAAGCGCTTTTCCGACTGAGTGCTCTCCTGTCCTTTGGGTAGATACCCAGGAGTGCAATTGCTGGATCATATGGTAGTTCTATTTGTAGATTTTTGAGGAATCTCCAAATTATTCTCCACAGTGGTTGGACCAATTTACATTCCCACGACAGTGTAGGAGTGTCTCCTTTCACCACATCCTCTTCAGCACTGATCATTATTTGTCTTTTTAACCTTCACCATTTTGACTGGGGTTAGGTGGTATCTCATTGTGGTTTTGATCTGCATTTTCCTTACAATGAGGGATGTTGAGCATTTTTTCATATGCTTTTTAGCTGTTCTTACGTCTTCCTTAAAGAATTTTTTCAGGGGACCAGCAGTTAGCATAATGGCTATGTCGCTGAACTCCCATGTAGTTGACCGCGGTTCATGTCCTGGACCCGGTGGCTTAAACTCACGCCGGGCGCGTGTGCGTGCGTGCGTGCTTCAACACATCCCCTCCAGCACATCATTTTTTTTTTATCTTAGCCATTCTAACTGTGCTTAGGTGATATCTCATTGTAGTTTTGATCTGCATCTACCTAATAATGAGGGATGTTGAGCATTTTCTCATGTTTTTTGGCTGTTCGTGTGTCTTCCTCAGAGAGTTGTTTATTCAGCTCAATTTCCCATATTTTAATTGGGTTAATCATTTTCTTCCGGGTAAGCTGCTTGGGTTCC